ATAGATAGATAGATAGATAGATAGATAGATAGATAGATAGATAGATAGATAGATAGATAGATAGATAGATATAGGCAATAGCTCCAGATTTATTTTGCTGCACATCTTGTTTGACCATTTCAACCCATGTGCTGTGCAGAACATAGAAACTTACACAAAAAATATGAATTTCTTTTCACATATTATAGATTTTTTTAGCCTCAACTCTTTGCGTTTTAGTCTCAGCTGTAACCKATCATCATCATCTCCAAATTGCGTTGTGTCAGTAACAAAATGGCAATGTGCCTAAGTAAAATATGTAAATAAAGAGACGATTTTTAAAGTACCGGTAATTAAATGTTTTCGGGGTCACAAACAACACATGTAACAACATATTAAGGAAGTGTGTAAGTCTAGAGATCCCTTTCAGATTATATCAGCATCATATGGTTTAAAATGATAAGTCAGACTTCACCTCCACTGAGTTTTATGAAATGTTTTAAATCATTTAGAAGAATTAAACACTTTTTGAACTTTGAAGTAAACCAGCAAAGAAAAAACAGTTTTATATATAAAAGTTGATCACTCTGACAACGTGAAAAAAAATCCCCTGAATTTATTACTGGAAACCTTAATTCAGCCACTACAAATAAGTTTTCTAATCCGTTTAAACGATCCCAGTGTTATTAATACACCAGCTCTGCTTTTATTGTCACTGATGGATCAATTTTGACAAAAAAATAAGTAGAAGAAGCCTTTGAGGCCGCTGCTGCCGAACGAGTTTGAGGGACTGAGTTAGATTGAGTGTGACCCCTGCTGCTTGTCATCGCCACATCAGGTTGGAGTTCTGCAATTCTGGGTCAGAGCAAGAGAGAGATTAGAATAAATTAGTCTGTCATAATTCATCTTCTAACTGGACAAATGCTCCATGCGTGCCTTTGTGTGTGTAAAACAGCCAATGGCCGCTAGAGGGCAGTGTTGGCTCAGTTTAAATATTGTTTTAAAATCGGGCAATGTCCATTAGTTTTACTGGAAAATAAAAAGTTGCAGAGTTTGTATCAGATTAGGCCTGCAAAGGAATGAGAACAGAAATGAAATCTGTAAGTGATAATGAAGTCAGCTCCTTTTTATTTTATCCAGACAAAC